TGAGTTGGAGTCTCACTCCGTTATCCAGACTGGAGTGCAGTGGCATGCTCCCGGCCACTGCAGCCTCGACCTGCTGGGCTCTGGCGATCCTTCTACCTCAGCCTTCCAAGTAGTGGGAATTACAGGCACATGTTACCATGCCCGGCTAATTTTTTTGATTTATTGTAGAGATGCGGTCTCGCCAAGTTGCCTGGGTGGGTCCTGAACCCGTGGGCTCCGGCAATCCACTTGCCTTGTCCTCCCAAAGTGCTGGAATTACAGACTGAGCCACTGAGCCTGGCCTTTTCCTACATTTTTAAAGAGATTGCCAGGTGCAATGACTCATGCCTGTAATCCCAGCATTTTGGGAGATGGAGGTGAGAGGTATTGCCTAAACCCAGGGTTTGAGACTAGCCTGGGCAACTTGGTGAGACCTCATCTCTACAATAAAAAAAAAAAATTGCCAGGCACGGTGGCTCACGCCTATAAGCCCAGCACTTTGGGAGGTAGAGGCAACATGGTGAGACCTCATCTCTATAATAAATCAAAAAATTAGCTGGGCATGGTGGCATATGCCTGCATTTCCAGCTACTTGGAAGGCTGAGGCAGACGTATCGCCTGAGCCCAGCAAATCGAAGCTGTGGTGGCCGTGAGTGTGCCTCTGTACTCCAGCCTGGGGGACAGTGAGACTCCAACTCAAATAAATAAATAAATAAATAAATAAACAGTCTAAACCAGTTTTCACAATATCCCTCAATTTGGCTCTATCTGATGTTACCTCATGATTAGACTCAGGCATGCATTTTTGGCAGGGATACCTCATGAGTGATGTGTCCTCGGTTAATTATATCTGGGAGCACTTGATGTCACTGTCGCATTATCAGGAATGTTAATTTTGAGCACTTGGATAAGGTTCAGCCTGTCAGATTTTTTCATTATAAAGTTGTACTTTTATAATTAATAAATCTATGAGGAAATACTCTCTGTATATACCCTGTGCTCTTTACCCAACAGTTTTGGCATCCGTTGATAATTCTTGCCTGAATTTGCTTGTTTATTCATTCGCTTATTTAATATTAATGCAGACTCATGGATTCTGACTTTATTAATTGCATTATAATCCATTACCACCATTAATAATTTTGATGTTCACAAGTGAGCTATGATCACACAACTGCACTCCAGCCTGGGCACTGCCTCGGTGACAGAACAAGACCCTGTCTCTAAAAGACAGAACAAAAACAAAAACTTTTGGTATAGACTGAGAAGTAGTGATTATCCTGTTTGACAGGAGAGAACAGAGATTTAGGGAATGCACTCAGTGAAAAAGAAGAGTTGGATTCAAGTCCTACCTCCATGCAAAAATAGAACCAACCCACGGTGGAGGCACCACTCAGCAGAACTTTTTCCTCGACCTGAAGTGAAATCTCAAAGGAGTACAGGGCAAAGTGGTGATGTGCCATAGAGCTTTGCAGGCCTCTGATTGAGTTCTGAGGAAGAACCTTTACATGGCCTCCAATTCTGAAGATGGCTTTGGGAACAGGCAGGAGCTCTGAGTGCACTCTTTCTCCCCAGATCTATCTCATGGCTCTGCCCATAAATGGTGATGAGAAGAGGGTGGGGCATGTGCCCAGATGGATATGAGCTTTTTGTAATACTGTCACTGACTGTCCTGGCTTGAGAGCAATGAGGTGAACGGAGCCTTAGAAATGCTGAGAGCAGGCTCTATGACAAAGGCTCTTTGTGGTCAGGACAAGAGAGGGTCTGTTGCCATCCTCTCAAAGCACAGAGGCTTGCTCTGGAGAAGTCCCAGTCAACAGGTGGGGAGGAAAGAGGAGCTGATGGCAGCAGAGCTAAGCTGTCATCCCATCTTAGGCAAACCTGAGACCAAAGGTAGACAGAGCGAGTCTTCAGAGAACCGCTTGGGCTAGCTGGCACTTGGTACAGAAGACAGAACTCACGGCCCCAAAGGGGTGAAAGTGAAATAGGACTCAAGTACGGCAGGTACCCGCTGGATTCAGAATGCTCAGTCTGTGCAGCAGAATCTGTTGCTAGTCAGGCTAAAACTGAGCCTAGCCACAGACCGGAGCCAACAAAGGCACTTTTCAGATGAATGAGTTTCCAGCTCGAAGAGGATGTGACAACTTCTGAACACAGTAGGGGGGGAACCCCAAAAAAACCCAGAACTTATCTTTGTTGTTGTTGTTGTTGAGTTGGAGTCTCACTCTTTCACCCAGACTGGAGTGCAGTGGCCGCTCCCGGTCACCGCAGACTCGACCTACTGGGCTCTGGCGATCCTTCCGCCTCAGCCTTCCAACAGGCGCGCGCTACCACACCCGGCTAATTTTTTTGATTTATTGTAGAGATGAGGTCTTGCCAAGTTGCCCAGGCGGGTCTCGAACCCGCGGGCTCCGGCAATTCACTCACCTCAGTCTCCCAAAGCGCGGGATTACAGGTTGAGCCACCGAGCCCGGCTTATTTTTTTAATGGTATATTTAAGCTTCAGTCACCTTCAACTTTCTCCATTTGATGCAGTACACCTGTTGAGACACTTTTGCCACTGCTCAAAAGAGTTTCTGAACTCGTCACTTTTGATGCCTTAAAGTGCTCCTGCCATTTTTTGCTTCACCTCTTCCACATCAGCAAAATGTTTCCCTTTGAGGATTTTTTTCCTCCAGGAAAACAAAAAGCTGCTGCTCAGGGTGAGATCAGGTGAATAGGGAGGGTGGGGTATGAGGCTTATGCTGAATACTCAGCGTGGTGTGGGCAGGTGTGGAGTTGTCATAGTGGAAGAACCAGTCACTTGTTTGCAACAACATGGGACATTTCTTCTGCAAATTGTGAGGGAACTTTCTCAAAACTTCCAGACAAAAACTTTGGTCGACTGTTTGATCCAGAGGAGCAAATTCTGAGTGTTCTACAAGGGGTCCACCCTCCAAAAGATAATTCTGGTTTTTTTGGGGGGGTTCCTCATACTTTGAGAGCATACACCTTCAGCCTAAGGGTACAAAGAACTACAGACAAATCTTGAACTCTACAGTAGTAGTATGGACTCAGCAATTCTCAAACAACATTGTATGTATTGTCGGATTGGGCAAATAAATACTGATGTTGGGAGCCAGAGTTCTCATTGTAGAAAAAATACACAAATGTAGAATGGGGGAGGGCAAAGGAAGAATCCCATGGTGTCAGATTGGAATTAGAAGTTATGATAAAAACTCACGCATAAAAAAGCTACATATATACACTTTCTAGTTCTGTCTGTTGTTCACTGAGAAGACCTGGAAGCAATGGCATAATGCCCAGACTTAATGACTTAATGCCCAGATCTTAGTTTCTAAATATTGTTCTCCACTAAAAAGAGCAGACCGGGCACAGTAGCTAACTTTGGGAGGTAGAGGTGAGAGGATTGCCTAAGCCCAGGGTTTGAGACCAGCCTGGGCAACTTGGTAAGACTTCGTCCCTACAATAAATAAAAAAATTAGCCAGGTGTGATAGCTCATGCCTGTAATCCCAGCACTTTGGGAGGCAGAGGCGAGAAGATTGCCTGAGTCCAGGGGTTCGAGACCAGCCTAGGCAACTTGGTGAGACCTTGTTTCTATAGTTAATCAAAAAATTAGCCAGGCATGGTGGTGCATACCTGTAGTTCCAGCTGTTTGGAAGGCTGAGGCAGAAGGATCAATTGAGCCCAGCAGGTCAAGGCTATAATGGTGGCCATGAGTGTGCTACTGCACTCAAGCCTGGATGACAGAGTGAGATTCAGACTCAAAAAAAAGAACAAGACTCCTGGGGAAAGAGCTGATTCCAGAGCTGGGGCAGGAAAAGAACAAATCGAGCCTGGGATATCTTCTTGTGCCAGAGGACAAGGAAGTGCTCAAAAAGGAAATGGGATCCAGCCTGAAGGGCTCCTACTGGCCAAATCTAGGACTCATGTGACCCTTCTGCCTTAGCCTTTTGAGGTGTGTGCCTGACCTGTAGCAAAGTTTAAGGGTGACTCAGTTTAGAAAAGCGCAAGCTCAGGACAATTTTCCCCTCCTAGGCATCTTACCAAATTACTTCTCCAGCAAAACCCATGCCCCATTGTGAGCTGAGGAGTTTTGGGGAGTCAGGTGCTATAACTAATTTGTGGTTGGAATGATGACTGATTATCCCTTCCTGTGTGACACCTTAGGGGCATTTACATTTGTTTTTGTTTTTGTTTTTGAGTCGGAGTCTCACTCTGTTGCCCAGGCTGAAATGCAGTGGCACACTCACAGCCACCGCATCCTTGACCTGCAGAGCTCAGGCAATTCTTCTGCCTCAACTTCCCAAGTAGGTGGGACTACAGACACTTGCCACCACGCCCAGCTAATTTTTAAATTTTTTAAAAAATTTATTTATTTTTTGTAGCAATGAGGTCTCTTCAAGTTGCCCAGGCTGGTCTTGAACCCCTGGACTCAGGCAATCCAATCCTATTGCCTCAGTCTCCGAAAGTGCTGAGATTACAGGCTTGAGCCACCGTGCCTGGCCTGGCATTTGTATTTTAAGAGCAGGAGAGTGGCTGTAATTTCTGACCAAACCAAGAAAAACATTACTGCTACGGCAGGTTTGGGAAGGAGTGAGATGTTTTCTGGCAAGACAGTGGGTTGGAAAGACTACCGTGCAGGGGTTCCAGAGGTCCAGGTTCTGGTCCCAGTTCTGCTGTTAACTTACTGAAGGACACTGGCAAGTCACTTGCCCTTCTGAGCACACCGTGTCCAATTTCTAATACTGATACCAAGTATGCACCTCCCTGTAAATTGTCTGCCTGCTTTGCTAGAATTAAGGTTACTGGGGGACACAGGAGAAATGCCTACTTTCCTGTTTGGCTCAAGCCCCCTTTAGGGGCCCCTGTATACGACCTTGCTGCCAATCTTGGTGTCACCCTGGAGGGAGAAAGATTTTACTTTTGTCCCTCCTCTCTCACCCTATATTGATCCATTTACATTTCCAGAACCTTCCTGAATCTCTGTCTCTGTTTTTTTTTTTTCCCCCTGCATAAGGACTGAAGAAGCAGAGGGCATCTTGGATCCCCAGGAGTCAGGAAAGTTAAACTTTAATGAGAAGTGCACTTGGAGCCCACTACTGACCCAACTCTGGGCAACGGCAGTTCTTGGGTCCCTCCCAGGTTAGGAGCTGCTAGAGCCCAGCACCATGAGGACAACTGGGCTTCTGTCTGTTTGTCTGTCCATCCAGGGTTGCTCCTGGGTCATATGGGGGACTGGTACTTCTGGGATGGTATCTTAAGCAATCAGTAATGCTGGCTGCAGGCTAGTCAGTGGGACTGAGGCTCCAGACAGACCTGGGGCAGCCGGATCAAGTCCTTCTGGTTCCTGACCAACCTGTTCTGTAGTTGGGTCTAGGATGAATCCTTGTTCCTATAAATCATGTCCTCCTTACATCCTGCCCTTTTGGGACAGCTCAGTATTTATTATTAGAGACCTCAGGTTTCTCTTTAAAAAGATATAATTGATGGCCAGTTGAAGAGCATCTAGACTGAGAAACCACCTGGATTTGGCTCACTTATTCACTTAACAAACGTTGACTCAGGCTGACTGTGGGTTCAGCCCTGTGTTGCATGCTAGGGCTACAGAAGTGTACTTGACAGGGTCTTCTGCCACCAGGAATTCCCACTTAGCATGGGGATTCTCAAAGCAGGCTTCACCCAAGTGGAATGGAAGCTTCCATACTGCAGTGGTCATCTTTGCACAATTCATGGAACAGTTAGGTTAACAGATTGATTTTTTTTGTTGTTCTATGTCAACCCTTCTTCTACATAGTATCCTTAAAGTTTTGATACAAGCTATGGCTTGTCTACTCTAGATTCTGGTATCAGATGGTACCTGATATACCAGCAGTCTATTTAGTTATTTTCTGGAAACTGTATATCTCATGCTTCCTAGCTTCCAGGGGCTCTGTCCTTAGGACATATCTGATCCGGAGGTCACAGATACGACCAAGTAGGAAGCAGTATGATCAGCACTAGAAATAGGAACAAAATACTGGGTCTTCATCTTGACCTTGCCACCAACTGTATGTAACCTTGGGCATCTCGCTTTTCTCTGGGCCTCATTTCTATCAGGGCTTCCAGATGAGAGTCTTAGACTAATAACTACTGTTATCATGGCTACAGTTCACAGAGCACTTATATGCTAAGCACGTTACACATTTCATTCTCATGACCACCCTGTATAAGGCCTATTTTGATCCCCATTTTACAGATGAGGAAACAGAGGCTAAGAGAGAAATGGTTTGTCTGAGGTCACACTGCAGAGAGTGGCGAGGAAGCCCTTTGCTACCTGACAGGGCCAGGTTAGGGCTGGGGTGGGCCCTGGGCAACTCTGAGAATTCTTTCTGGCAGGCACAGAAGACATACGAATTGATAAGAAGACCGTCAGCCCCTTCCTGCAGTTGTCAGACGATCTAAGGACCCTGACCTTCAGCACCAAGAAGTCCAAGACCTGTGCAGATGGTCCAGAGCGCTTTGACCACTGGCCCAATGCCTTGGCTGCCGCCTCCTTTCAGGCCGGGCTCCACGCCTGGATGATAGATGTCCAGAACAGTTGTGCCTATAAGGTGGGCGTGGCCTCAGGTCAGCTGCCCCGGAAGGGTTCTGGCAGTGACTGCCGTCTGGGCCATAACGCTTTCTCCTGGGTCTTCTCCCGCTATGATCAGGAGTTCCGTTTCTCACATAATGGGCAGCATGAGCCTCTGGGGTTGCTGCGGGGCCCAGCCCGGCTGGGTGTGCTGCTGGACTTGCAGGCACAGGAGCTGCTCTTTTATGAGCCAGCCTCAGGCACAGTGCTCTACACCTACCATGGGTCCTTCCCTGGGCCCCTCTTTCCAGTCTTTGCTGTGGCTGACCAGACCATCTCTATTGTCCACTGACCTCCGGGTCCACCTCCCCACCACCCTTTCAAGCCACATTTTTACTCAGTGTTCTTCTCCCAAAGGTTGTGTGTAGTGTTTCTAAGGGAATCAGGGCTCACACCCAGAGGGCAGCTTTAGGAGGGGTGGGGATCTGTTTCAGATCTGAGTACAACCTTTACATGCAGGAACTTTGGGGAATGTGTTTCTCCTTAGGCCTTAGTCTTCCAAATCCACTAGGCATCTGCCCCTCCGAGAGTGTCTTGTTCACCATTTTATCTCTGGTATCCAGCATGGTGCCTGGCATAGTAAGTATGCAATAAATATTTGATAGGTGAGTGGATGGATGGATGGATGGATGGATGGTGGGTGAATAGGTGGGTGAATGGGCAGATGAGTGGATGGACAGGTGACTAGGTAGATGTTGAGTACATAGGTAGATGTTGCAGTCTCTGCAGCAGCTCAGCCTTTTGGTCCCCTGCCCCCAACTTTGTGTATGTGGAAGTGGTTCTCCAGCAGAGAAGCCTGTGGCTGAAGCTTCTTCATCCCTTCAATTCAGTGCTTCTCAATCTTCTTCATGACATGAAACATAGAGAAAATACTTCTTCTAGCACACAAGAATAACCTGAAAGGCTGCTCCTGGCCAGAGGACTCTGGTCTGGGGGACTGTGTCCTTCCCCCAGATCCTGCCTAGGCCCGCAGAAGACAAAGATCATGTCTCCAGGTAACTTGAGTATAACATAGCCATCAGCATCTGTCTCAGACCTGGCAGCTGAGCTCCATCCAGCCTATGCCCATTGGTGACAGCAGAGATGACCCTTTTTCCCTGCTGCAGCTGAAGACTTCTCCCACTGGATGGCCTCTTCTGACATAAAGTACAGACCTGGGGTGAGGGCTTCAAGCCAGAAAGAGCTGAGGGAGCAATAGGACCAGCCTCAGGGCACGTGGACATTATTAAAGGTCTTAAAAGTTTCAAAGATTTCTTCCATATTCTTTGCTGGTGACTGAGTATATATGGGTATATACTATATGTTGATCCCAGTCTTCCTTACTCTCATTTGCATTTGCTGAGTGGGTGGCAGCTGAACATAGCAGAAAGAGCCTGGAGACATTGCTGGGACCAAACACAAGTCCAAGTTTTCCTCCATTGAGAGTGTGAACCCTAACAGAGTGGTCTTCAAGTTTTTGACCAGGAACATTTCTTCTTACCTAAGACTTGAGGCTCCTGGGTCCCGGAGGGTGACAGCCAGAGCCCTTCCTGCTTGCCTTGGGAGCCACAGAGCAGTTTGAAAACTGCTATTTAGTCGGCAAAGATCACAAAGTAAGGTTGGCTGGGGTCGGTGGGCAATGAGTCAAACAGTTCAAGATTCAGGAACAGCCACCACTCAGCCTCAGCCCTGTGTGGCCATGCAGGAATGCAGACCCAGAATGACCAGGGAGTTGGAGAAAAGCTGGAAAATCCCGATTTTTTTGGTGACGTCTCTTGATTTTAAAATTTACTTGAAACACTGGGCAGATCAAATCTAGTCCACAGACCTATTGGCAACTTATTTGGTTGAGATCATCTCTGAGGTCCTTGTAGCTGAGAACACGGCTTATGACCTGCGTCTGGACTGCCTGATAGATACTCAGGAATTACTGTTGAGTTGCCTGGCCTTGGTACCAGTCCTAAGGAAGACAGATCCAGAAGGGATCTTCCCTGCCTTTGCCTGGGCACAGCCTATGCCCTAAAATCTGGGTAAAGCCAAGCTCTTGCACTGGGTACCTGAAGGCCCCCTTGCTGCACTTCCACCAACCCAATTCCTAACAGTGGCCTTTAGTTCACAGCACACGGGCCTGCTGCAGGAATACTCCTCC